TTTCACATTCATCATTACGATGACGACGAGGCCTTTCTTAAGCAACTTTACCGCTGATTTATGGGAATTCCTAATTTACAACAGGCACACCGACCCATATGAAGGACGGTAGGAACAATGGACCATGTAAATCATTAACAGTAAATCATTAGATTTCCTCTGCTCAGACTGAGACAGACCTGGGGGTGGAGAGTTCAGAAGTTCTCTGCTAAGGGACTCCTTAAGGTGTGTGTGTGTGTGTGGGGGGGTGTTTTTCCCTTTCTGATCTTACTCCCTCCCCTCCTCACAATAGGTATTTAACCACTAGTTGTTTGACCGGTAGTTAATTTGAAAATTATAAATAAGTAATAGTTAATTTTGTTTATATCTAGAAATGTTATTTTAGTATTTATTTTTATGAAAATCTATTCATTTTTTTTGCCTAAGAAATTAATTATTAGAATGGGGCGTTGCCCATAAAGATTATTAGACATTAACTAATAGTTCATTCACGTATTTGCTGGGACCGTTGAAGAGCTGTGGGTGAAGTACATTCACTTGTTCTTCCTATTCTCTAACCTCAGGACACTGGCCATCACCGGTGTTTCTCAAACTTACTTGCTTTCTCAATTTCAAAAAGTACTGCYTGGTGAATTGAGGCTTCTGCGGGTTTGCGACATTCTGGAAGGTTCTTTTTTGCCTTGCCACTGGCCTGGAGGAAAGACTTCTATGAAGCTCTGTGAATTTTCACAAATTCGGATCCTGCTTTCTAGGCTTCTGGGCAACCAGTGCTCCAGTGCTCAAGAACTAGTCTTCCCCAGATCAGATGGTACCAGGCAAATTCAGAGCAGAGAAGGTTATAGACCCTATCCAAGGCAATTGCAAAACCTGTTCCAGAAATCTTGATAACGTATGGATAGATTAGGTAGCAGATTGTTCAGGGAAATCAGGGAACTTCCAAGAGCATGTCTGGTCTTTCAGGATGCAAACACTGGACTCTCCCTMGCACTTTCCCTCAGGGCTGTGGTCAAAATTCTGGGTTAGTAGTCTTCAGTTCTGATCTGTGATGACATTTCTGATCTTCTGAAGAATATTGTACCAGAAAGGGTCATGCTAGAACACCCCAAAGTGCTGGTGAACTGTCTCAAGGGGCAGAGGCTTTCCTGAACACAGCCAGGACTCAGGGTATGAGCCAGTCAAGCGAGTCCACACCAAGCACACCACCACCTGCTCAGTGCAGACGTTTGGTATGGGCCACGCTAATGATGATGATGTTTGTGATGGCAGTGGTGACCACACCCGTCTCCCCACCTAGAGAGATAGGGTGGGACAATTTCATCAGGATGGGCAATCTAGAAAAGTTCATTACTGGGGGGCTTCCTACGACACAGCGCCCCTGATTCAGCATAACATCTTCAGGAGAAGGGATGATGAGGTTCAGAGCACAAGGGTCCCCACTACCATCTTCTCTTTCTGTTACCCTTCCTTCCTCCTTTCCATTCTCCCTTCTTGCTTTTGCTCCCTGGGTCTCTCTTACAAGCCTCCTTCTTGCACAAGGGATGACTCTGACAGGACTTCCTGGGTACTGAGGGAGGGAAGGCCTGTCAGTGAGAGTTAGGGCTGCCCCTTTTCTTCTAGCTCTTTCTGGGGCAAAGCCCACAGCCTGGTGTCAGTAAATATACATGGGTTTGTGGAGACCCCAGCAGTGATGGGAAAGAAGAGAGGGGCTTTCAGTCTCTCGYTTTCCAGTCTGTTAGAGTCATCATTCTTAACCAAGGTTTGGGGTCAAAATCTGGGGCCCCAGTTTAGTAATGGAAACCCCAAGCTTCAAGGCTAGGCTGGTGCAAAACGGGGCAGGACAGCGGACAGGAAGTGGTGTGGCTGTGTGGGCGTGAAGGAGGGGCTTCCTCCCTCTGCGACACTTTCTATGCTGAGAGGACCTGTCTCAGTGCCTCCCCTCACCCCAGCACAGCAGACAGACACTCTGGGGCTTCATTCAGATGTTTGGAACAAGCAGCAGTGTGCATAGAACCAAGAAAATACAACCCTCAGCACAAGGGTCCCCCACTACCTTCTTCCCTCCCTTCAACTTGTCCACATCTCTTGTCTCTCCTAGAAAATAGTTTCTCAGGTGTATATGGAATTGTTACTTTTTCAGGGAACATTTGGGTTTTGAAACGTCTGTCCATCTCCAGTTATCTTGGAGGGCACTTGACCCCCAGTACCCTAGGTTAATCTATTTTTGGTTCACTGCTTCTCAATGTACGCTTCTAACATCAAAAGTGGAGGCAGTCTTGGTCCTTCCTAAATTCAAGTTCAACTTCAATGAAAACACAGCCAGAGAGGGAGGAAGTCACCGAAGTTCAGCAGCTAATTTGAGTAAAGTTCTTGAGAGCAGACAAAGCAATTAGCATATTAGAGCTAAGTGGGTGGATTTGGGGGATATTGACAGGGCTTGTAGATTAATTTGGAGACTGAAGGAATAAATCAATTTCTGAGCAGCTGGATGAAGGAGGCTTGTGTTATATAAAAACAACCTGAGAAGCATCTTTGAAGGGAAGATGGTGAATCCCTGTCAGAGCTTAGAACATGCTGAGCAGGACACACTGTGAGACATTCTGTGAGAGGCACTTCCTGGGGATCTGGATGTACAGTCTGTCCTTAGGAGAAAGACCTGGGTTCTGGGTACAGAGGTAGCAGTTAGCAGCATAGGGATAGTGACTGAGGGTAAAAGAAAAGGAGCCCCTTTATCCTGAGAAGAAGTAGGGGGAGAAAGAGGAAGGACGGGCTAGCATATTGGCTGTTGGGAAGTGAAGGAGATAAAGGTTGAGATATGGCCATTAGGCTTAGAAATCGGAGCTTACTGGTGACCTCCAAGTGGGGAATCTCTGGGAAATGGTGGAAGTGAAGGCTAGATCTTATGCCAGAGACTGAGAATCACCCAAACCAGTTCCTTCCCCCAGCCCCCTAACACTTAGCCAAACTCCATGTGACTGAGTTCTGGCCAGTGGACTGTGGTGGCCATGGGAGGAGAATCATGCACTGTCACCTCCAGGATGCAGCCCTCACCCATCCTCTGTGCACACTCTCCTCCCTAAATCTCCAGTCAAAATATAAGAGCTGGGGGGGAGACTCCAAGGTCTTGGGGACACAGGTCACAGGGCTCAAGAAAAATCAGTCCCATGGGAGCATGGACACCTGGGGTTAGCTGTGAAGTGGGAGAGTAGCCAGTCGAACAGCAGTGACAGAAGGGATCAGAGCAGGTCAGCAGTCAGAACAGATGAGTTTTAGAAATCAGGTCAGCTAGAGGGATCCTCAAGAACAGGCAAATCCTACCAACCAAAGTTGACAGCCAGTGCTTCCTGCAGGGCCTGCAAGTGCTGGAGTTGRAACAGCAGTAGCAAAATGCTTGCTGCACAATGCTAGCTTTATGTGTCCATTCTCACAGCCACATTGGCCCCTGGGGACCCGGCTGAGTCCACTCTACCCAGATGGGTCGTTCACCTGGACTGTACGGTCCTGGCCAGCCTTGAGCCAACACATGCCACATTTGAACACCAGCAGAACAGGATCCGCCCTGACTCACATCCTTTTTGCACAACTCAGCCTGACTCTATTAGCTCAGCAATCAGACCACTGGTGTTCTCAGCCTGGTTCTGCAGCTCTCCAYGAACAGCCTTAAGCAAATCCCTTTCCCTCGATGCACCTGAATCCCTCATCTGCAGAGTGAAGGGATAGACTGGATGACTTTCGTGTCTCTTGTACTAAAAACATGCACCATGCACCTGAAACAGTCGAATTCAGGAAGTTTTGGTTGGTGCTTCCAGTAAGCATTAGCCCTGTTCTCTGGCACCAGCCTTCCAATGCCTGAAGAGGGGATTTTGCAGCCTTGAGCTTAKGCAAGTTAAAGGCGACCAGGCAGACCTCCACCAGAAGGGGGAGCCTCCCAGGAGAGGAGGGGGTGTTGATAACCTCTATGTCTGGAGCTAGCAAGTCCTTTACCTTGGGAGGGTCTGCAAGGTGTTTTTCTCCCTTTCTACTTTTGTAACCACCTACATTTATAACAAAGCATTTTCCTTTCTGTTCTCATTTCTTGTTCTGGTTATGACAGGATAGCTCCACCCTCCACATCCCCCTTGAAGAAGGTTGGGGACCACCTTCCCAGATTTTCTGGGTTGGCTTGGTTCTAACCTTTCCTAAGAGAATAGAGTTGGACAGAACTTATGAGAGAAAATTGTTCCTTGCCTGGCATGGTAGCACACTCCTGGAATCCCAGCTCCTCCAGGAGGCTGAGGCAGAGGATCACATGAGGTTAGACTCAGCAACTTAGCAAGACTCTGTCTCAAAATTTAAAAAAAAAAAAAAAAAAAAAAAAAAAGGACTAAGGAGATTGCTCAGTAGTAAAGTGCTCCTGGATTCAATCCCCAGTATCAAAAAGAAAAAAAATATTCCTCTTCTCATCTCCCATCATAAATTCCTCCCCATCATAAATAAGGAGACAGATTTCCTTTTCCAGGGATTCAGGCTAATATAAAGTAAGTTTGTCCTCTGATCCTATACCTACTTACAGAAGGGAAAGGTGACCTGGGAATAGACACAGCAGTTGGGAAAAAAAAGTCCTGGAATAGAAAATCTTACATGACAGTCTAGCATGGGTGTGAGCTGGTCAAGATGTAGGGCCAGCTGGGTCAATGACTTCTGAAGACGCAGGGGTGCAGCGAAATCCTGCCCATTTATGCTTTGCCACAGCCCCCACAAGGGTGCCTCGGCCAATTATCATGGATGTGGCTTTGGAGGAGATGAACGGGAGAGGGAAACAAGACCCATGAGCTATGAAAGGCCACGGGGAAGATGACCACCCCAGAAAGAGGAATTGTACTGTGCTCCTAAATTCCAACAACTTGGAGAAAGGAGARACTATATCCAACTTTATTATTATCCCAATTCTAGAGGAAATGATCCTGCGGAAACCTACTAGCTGCCAAAGCAGTAGTGGCTYCAAAGCAGAGAAGTGGCTCCTGAGGGTGGCCTTTCAGCTGGTGGCCTTTCTGCTTGCTGCTCCAGGACGAAGAGTCAGGTGCCTACAGGTTGCCACCCTGAGCCTGGCTGCGGAGGCCACGACTGGCCCTGGAGCTTCTGGCCACAGGTGACCCTGCACACAGACGCAGAGGGAACCTCTTCCCCCAGGTGTGGAAATGATCAAGGCTCCTCGCCCAGCAGAGGAGGAGCGTCCTCGGGCTTCATCGCGGTAGACAGCTGGCCACTGGGTCCGGCCGAGGCACCTGCACAAAGTTCATGGGGCAGAGCAGCAGCGGGCACATCTTCTCGTGCTCCTTCAGCGCCTCGCTCAGGTGCCGCAGCTCCTCCGTCAGCTTCCCGATCTCCTTCCGCAGCATGGTGTTTTCCTGCTCCAGGCACTCGTACTCCTGTGGAGGAAAGGCAATAGGCAACAGGGTTCTGAGACTGCATTCCCTTCCTCCGGCCTCCCAGCAGCTCTAAAGCGCACCGCGAAGCTCACCTCCTGCCGGAGAAAGCCTTATCCTGGACCCCTGTCCCCTCCACCGCTCGCATTTATTGGCTTACGGTGTGTTGGCTTATGTTTTCTTCTCCTCCTACTAGGATGAAAGGATCAGAGCTTTTTTTTTTTTTTTCCAAGCAACTCTAGTGAGGAATAATTCATTTAATCAATCAATTAACTATGTTATTTTTTTTATTTCATGTTTTTGAGAGAGGGGTTTCACTATGTTGCCGGGGTTGTTCCAGCATCCCACTACTCCTCCGTTAAGGAGATTTGGCTTGCTCTGCTCCTGACCYGCAGGGGTTCTCCCCTTCTTAGGCAACCTGGTGATTCCACTGCGGAACTTGTTGCTGATGCCSGTAGTGAACTCCTGGGCTCAAGSGATCCTCCTGCCTCGGCCTCCTGAATAACTGGAACTGTAGGGGGAGCTACTGAGTCCCATCAAAGAAACATAAAAAATAAAATGCATCTATTTTAAAKGTGTATTTCAATGAGTGTTGACAAATGTATATGCCCATGTTGATCAATAACACATTTCCACCACTTCAGAAAGTTCCCTTAGATCCTTTTGTGTCAGTCCCCTCCAAGGCTGGCTGATCTGCTTTCTGAAGGTCTTTGCTGGATTCGCACTACACCCCCAGCACCTACCCCCAGCACCCAGAACCGACTCAGAAGGTAGCAAATGTTTGCTGATTGCCCAAATCAAAGCATGAATGCATGTGGCTTTGCTCCGGCACTATTCTGTTGTTTCCACCATATCAGAGTTCACAGAGGCTTAGAACTGCAGGGAATCAAAGAGTACCCTTTGCACCAACCCACACAATGTAGAAACCTTCCATAGGTAACTAGCCCCAGCATCTATCTTGGGCTGGGCAGTCCCACCTTCAAAGGATAGCCCTTGTCATTTCTGAGCAGCTCTATTAGAAAAAGCTGTTTGTTGTAGCAATCCCAAATCTCCCTCTTCTTCAAACCCACCTATTGGGCTGGGTTCCACCTAATGGAACCACATAGAGTAAATCTAATACTTTTTTTCAACATCACAGTTCTTGAAATGGTAGGGACAGCCCCACACCACTTCCCCTTAGGTATTCTCTGAGCCCAACTGTCTCAGGTTCTCTGAGTTTCTTGTGGCAGGACTACCAATGCCTCTGCTCTCCTGGACATCATCCCTGACACAYATTCCAAGTTGCCAGAATCTCTGAGAAAACATCACTCCTTGAATGCAGTGCATGATTCTGGGGATCATGCAAAGGGAAAATTCCTGGCAGAGGCCTCCTGTGCACCAGACCTAAGATGATGGGGATTCTCCATGAGCTTGCAGAGAGCTCCGTCAGCATGTGCTGTTTTTCTGTCTCTACTTGGGTGATGATTGATATTCTGGACCTGAAGGGTACAGCTTTACATCTTTCTCCGCTGAATTTCATTCTGTGCATTTGAGCTTCTTTGAGCCAAGCAAAATCTGTTGGAATCATAATTGTTTCATCTCGTGGACCACTTTAAGCCATCCAATAACTTGATAAGCAGTTCTTTCTTTTCTTCATCCCAGTCATCAATAAGTTCTCCAACACCAACTCATGACAGAACCCTCCAGCATGCTAACAGCAACTATCTCAAGGCTGACAACTGTATTTAAATTTTGCTACAAAGTAGTTTTCATTCACATGTAGCTTGATTTGTATGATTAGGCTTTGTTGCCCCAGGCAGATCCTGAGCTGGGGACCCCCTCTTATTACCCATCACACTTCTTTCTTGATAGTGATCTTTAAGAAAAGTATCACTAAGGAAGTCTTATCTGATAGCCCCTAAAGAAACCTGCAAGTTCTCATCCCTGCCCCTTTGCTCATGAGGTTCTCCTCAAGTGGACCACCTTCCTCTTTTTCCCATAGAGGCCCACTACCTCCAGGAAGGTTTCTCTAATTGCAGCTTCTATAAAACCTACATCTTTTATTATGAGTTCTATTCAGGTCTGGTATCATCTTCAATCTCTCTTATAGTAAATAAAATCTCTCCTCAAAGATCAGAAATACTTAACACCTAGGATCTTCTGCTACCCTCTTCTCTACCTCCACTCCATGCACCACAGAGCCAGCATCTAGAAGCTCAGCAACTCCTTAAACCTTATCCTCTGTCTTCTCTTGCCCTTCCCTCCCTTCCTCCCCACTGAGTACCTGCCTCCCTTTCAGAACCAGGGCCCCAGAAGAGTGGCACACAGAGATCATCTCAGCCACTCCTCCACCTCCTGCCCATTATGGAAAGGTTGGTAGGGTGTTCCAAAATACTGCCCAGGACAGCAGGCTTCATTCTCCCTGCTCCTGAACCAGGCTTCTCAGAGTCAGTTTGGCTTTACTAGCACATTGGGCCCATTCTGCCTTCAGTCCCTCTCCTTGCCCACCATCCCCAGTTCTTTGTGATCTTTTCTGACCTCTGACCAGCTCCAGACCTGGAGTCAGAATTCAGTCTATAAACTCAGCAACAAGCCCTTCATGGGCAAGGGGAGGGTCTGGATGAAAAGACAGGAACAGAGACTGTGGCATCACGGGGAGCTTGCATGCATCAGAGAGATGAAAGAGGTTGCACATGCCCATACACACACACACACACACACACACACACACACACATGCCACACACACACACACACACACATGCCACACACTCACACACACACACATGCCACACACTCACACACACACAGGCCACACACACTCTACTCTGTGACTGGAACTGCCCTTCACCTTCAAGTAAAGTTGATGGTAGATCTGAATGGTTCCAATGAGATAACATTTTAACTAGATTCCAAAGAACAGGTAGTTTTCTTCCTCAGGCAGAATATCTCAAAACTGCCATTTTACGGTTATTTTTTTTTTTCTCTGAGTTTCTGAGCTTTGTCTCTGGAAGCCACAAGAAGCCCTGAGGCCTAACACCTTCCTGAGGTACCACTACTACGTTCCCCAAACCTCTGCTCGGAAAGTCTTCAGAGCTGCCTGTCACAAGCCACCAAGCAGGCCCCTCGTCTGCCTTCTCCACAGGGACTTTCTCTTCTGGGATTTAGGTTTTACTCATAAATCTGCTGAGGGACTTTTACGGAGCTGAGGGAATAAGGAGAGAAGCAGTGAAAATCTTCAGGTGAGACCAGTTCTATAAAAATGAAGAGAAGCTGAGAAAGGGAGGAAGAAGGGGCCGAGAAGACTGAACGGAAAGAAAAGGGAAAGAATGAAAACCCGCTTCAGCAAAGAAGAGATGACTAGATTTAACATAAATAAGGAATGAGAAGAAAACATTGAACTCATGTGATTTCCAAAGGGATGATCCRTCTAGCTTGAATCCTGGTGACCTGTGGTCACTGTGCTGCCACCCTGGGAATTTGCCAGGTCATAGCTTCAGAGCAGAGACCTAAAATTAGAGGCAGTGAAATCACTGCAAATCCCAGTTCTGCCTCAGAAATTAAGCTGCCTAAGGCAGTGGTTCTCAGCTGGGGCAATTTTGGCAGTCCCCAGTTGAGGACATCTGAGAAAATTTGCTGATGTCTGCAGACAGTTTTGTTTTTTCACAGATAGGGGAGGGAGGTGATATGCATCCAGTGGGTTGAGGCAGATGTTGCTCCGTGTCCTACGGTGCACAGGACAGCCCCCCAAACAAGAAATTGTCTATCTCCAAATGTCCACAGTATTGAGGCTGAAAAACATTCAAAGAGGTCGAGTGGGGAACTGTCTGGGGGTTGCCAGGGTTCCGTCTTCTAAGGAAGAAGATGGAATTGAGATTGGTAGAGAAGCTGATGTGAGTACCATGGACCAAAGATGATAATTCTGGTGTGAAAGAAAGGAGGGGTAGGAAAAGACCACCAGGAGGATACAGCCAAACACAAACCCAGTTTTCATAAGTGAGCCAACTGAAGCTCTGCRAGGCACAGTGACATGTCCAAGGTCACATAGACTTGGGATCAGATGCCTATGTCCAGGTCAACTGCAACTCTCAGGCAGCATCAGCAATTTTGCTCTTGGTTGGCAGCAGCTGGGCCTGAATTCCCCTGTGGTGGTTACCAGAAGTAAAAGGCCATGAGATTTCAGGACTTTACAATTTACCCCTTTCCAAGCCTTAAGCTGATGCACTTCCCAGCAGATGCTGTGTCATCAGCAAGGACTGTACAAATTAGTGTCATAATCAGTTTCTGAACCAACTGGGTACTGACATGAAACATTCTCTTAAAACATGCAATGTCTGAAAAAACCATGGCAACACATACCACAACGGTATTGCCCAAGTACTTTGTCAGTTTTGTGACATTTAGGGCTCTTGAGGATGGCATTGCTGCCTTCCTTTTCTGACTCAAAATCCTTTCTCAGTCTGACATGTTTGGGTGCCTGGTCAAACCAATCTGACCCATTTCTGAGCCATCTTCCAGCTCCTCTCAGAGAGCCTGGCCCATCACTTGGGTTCCACTTGTGAATGTGGATTCCGGTGTGYGCCAGATGTTCAGAGATGCATGGAGGTCAAAAGCCCACGAGAGGCGTAAGCGCCGTGAAGGGATGATTTGAAAACGGTGAACAGGGAGGGTCACAGACACCTGCTGGGAACTGCTTCTCATTGCCACAGTCCAACTGCCAGCCACTGACCCATGGCCTGGGGGACACTCTGAGAAGTGAGCCCAACTCTTCTCTCCCCGGGCTCCCCTGGCCTATCTCACTTTGATGGAATCATCTGGCTTTCAAGATGGAGAACTGGAAGCAGAGGGAAATGGCCAAGAAACTCAAAACAGTGGAAGCCGAAGGAATGTTTTCAGGTGGCTAGAGGTGACAGGGGCTCAAAAATAACTGGGTGTGTGAGTAAGGTGAACAGAAGAGAAAAGTGGGAATTTTAAACAAAGCAGGCTCTGATCATTACCCGTGGAGGTATTCAAGAAAGGCAAGGGAAGAGTCTGAGCTACTTTGACATTAGGAATTCCACCCAGTGCTGGGATAGGGGAGCCAATGAGGAAAGTCCTTTTGCGGGACTACTATCTTTAGCAGGGACCAAGCAGCTTCCTGAGCCCCTGAAAACCTCCCAGTGATCTGGTGGGTTTTGCTCTCATTGACTCCTTCCTGGATGTGACCTGGGAGCCCCAGGTGTCTCCAGGGGCTTTCGGCTGTGACCCACAGAAGTGTGCTAAGTGTTCTGCCCTCAGGTCACTGGAGCGTAGTAATTCTTTACCACATTCTTTCTACAGTCATCTGCACCTCTAGTATATAGATTTAGTCATTTACCGTCCTACCACTAAACTGCTGGCCGTACAGAAAAGAGATTCCTGTAATCATGAAGCCTTCCTGGTAGGAGGCCGGGAATCCTCAGGGAAGGGATTTTTTTTCATGAGGAACCTGTTGGTCCAGAGGTGATGTTCCTCTCATTCTGTAAAAAGTTTGGGATGCATTTTTACTTTCCTAAGCCAGTTGCTTACCCCCTGATACCTTCTTTGTGTGTAGCTACTGAGGTAAGGTGAGGGGTAGTTTGGGGGTCTGTATATAGAGGGAGCCACTGTCCTGACTTTGACACTGCGTTTCTCAACAGGGCTGCCTTGCTGAGGTGATGGGCCAGTGGTGTATATTCTGACGTATGCCTCCGGCCACACTGAGGAAGAGGAGAAGGGGGTGTTCTTTCCTGTAGGGACTGGGCTCCAGATCAAGCCACACCAGTTCTGGAAAGGACAGAAGCAATACTGTGAGGCAACAGAGTCTTTGGGTAAGAGGACAGGCAAGGGGGCCCATGGAAGGCCTCATGGTTCAAGAGGGACCAGAAAATAGCAGCTCAATTCACAATAGCTAAACTATGGAATCAACCTAGGTGTCCTTCAGTAGATGAATGGATAAAGAAAATGTGGTATATATACTCAATGGAAGATTATTCAGCTTTAAAGAAGAATGAAAATTATGGTATTTGCCAGTAAATGGATGGAGTTGGAAAATATTATGCTAAGTGAAATAAGCCAATACCAAAAAACCAAAGGCCAAATGTCTTCTCTAATATGAAGATGCTAATTCACAATGGGGTGGCACTAGAAAAGAATAGAGTTACCTTAGATTAGGTAGAGGGAAGTGATGGGAGGGGATGTGGGGACAGAAGGATTGTAGAATAAAACAGACATTATTACTTTATGTGTAAATGTGAATGCATGACCAATATGCTTCTGCAACACGTACACTCAGAAAAATGAGAAATTATATCCCATGTATGTATGATATATCAAAGTGCATAAAGGCATTCTCCTGTCCTGTGTAACTAATTAAAACAAATAAGAAAATTAAATTAAAGAACTAAAAAAAGAGGGAATATAAAGGGGTAAATGTGGTTCCCAGGCACCTGGTTCACTTGATTATCAAATCCAACAATGTTAGAGATTGAGAGAGAGCCCGTGCTTCATCGGGGGGTCTTTTTTTTTGACAATGTAATAGAGCCAAATGAATATTCTTCTTTCTTTTTTTCAGTGCTGGAGATGGAACCCGGGCCTCTCAAATGCTAGGCAAGTGTCCTACCACTGAGCTACATCTCCAGCCAATAAGCTTTATGAATATTCATTCTACCTTCTATGGTAGATGGAATAATGGCCCCTCAAAGATGTCCATATCTGGATCTCTGGAACCTGTGTCTGTGTCGCCTCACATAGCAGAGGGGACTTTGCAGATGCAATTAAGCAGAGTAAAGTGAGAGATTGTCCTGGATTACCTAGGCAGGTATCATGTGATCACGAGGGTCAAAGTTGAAGATGGAAGGGGATCACAACCTGAGGATCATGGAAGCCTCTAGAAGCTGGAAAAAGCAAGGAAACAGATCTTCACCAGAGCTTCCAGAAAGAATGCAGCCCTGATGACATCTGGCTTTTAGCTCAGGGACAGGCATCTCAAAAGGTCCAACTRCCAAAACTCTAAGATAGTAAATTTGTTGTTTTAAGTCACCACATTTGTAAGGATTTGTTACAGCAACAGTAAAAAAATTAACATGCTTTCAGTGGGAAATCTTGCGATTCCCAAGGAGAGGAATGAGAWCTTCTTCTTTTTGTGACCCAAAAGTAATGTTTTGCCCACAGGAGTGCTTAATAAATATTTGTAGACTAGATCTACTTGATCTACTCCCTGAAAGATCTTGTTCAAGACACTTAGCCACCACTGTATACATAATCACTCAGGACTTACAATTGATAATGCATCTGACTTGGACTAGAAACTTCTCAAAGGCTCTTGTCCAGCTGTTAAGACCAGTACACATGGTCTGAATGAAGGACCATGCACTAACTGTGAGCCACAAGCCCCCTCTGGGGGATATTTGGTAACAAGAAGCTAGAACCACAATTGTCTCAGGAGCAAGGGGGAAGGAAGAAAGGAGGCAAAGGGTATTGCAATTCTTCTGTAAAAATTTTACAGAATAAAGGATGGAAAGGCCTTCCCTGACTCTAGTCTGGACACTCTAGTCTCTTTATAGGGCCAGCTATCCTACTCAGGAAAGAATCTGACATCTATAACTTTGCCACACTGTAAATTTACATTGGTGTGTCTTGTCTCTCTGGGATATGTGCATTCAGAATTTGTTCTCTGTGCACTGCTAGAAGACTTTTTCAGAAATTTTCTTCTCCTTCTCAATTATACATGAGTGTCTGTGCTGTCAATGTTCCAGAATGTTCTTGCTGAATCAATCTATGATGAGAAAGCTTGGCAGGAAATAATGAAACTAAAATCTTTAATTAAGCACATCTACTCCATGCAGAGACTGCCAGGAAATTCCTTGGATAGATCTCAAGTGCTTCTGAGGTCAGTTCCTGGTATGCACAGTTGTCATTCCCAGCCATGGGATTCCATGGGTTTATGCTTAAGGATTGAGGAAAACGAAATAGTTGAAGATAAATCCCAGTCTGGGGTCTGCATGTGCCCACTGAAAAGTCATGTATTGGAAACTTGGTCCTATATGCAGTAGTGTTAGGAGGTAAGACCTTTGGGAAGTGATAGGATCATGAAGGTTTTGCTTCTGTGAAAAGATTAATCTTTTAATKGGTTATCATGAGAATGGCTTTTTATAAAACAAATTCTTTTGGTTTGTTTGCCCTGTCATCATGTGATACCCTCTGCCATGTTTTAATGCAGCAAGAAGGCCCTCACTAGATGCAAAGCAATGATGGCATCTTGCTTTTTGAACATCCCAGACTCTAGAACTTGAGCCAAATAAACTATTCTTTATAAATTACCCAACCTGTGGCAGTCAGTTATAGCAACAGAAAACAGACTCAGAMACCAGGCTTCTGATATGAATGATAAGAAAAGTAGCTGGTTAACTATAATGTGAAGATCCTGTGAAGACAGTCTCAGAGTGAACAGACTTGGCACTCCATTATGAATGTGGTTCATCCCAGGAGCCTGCAGCAGACCCTCTGGAGACATCTAAGCAAATGGTCTGGTTTGGGTCTAGGGCATTTATTAATGTTTGAAGCTGATGTTCTGAAGAACAGATTAGTAGATAAATAAATGAATCTTCCAGTGTGAGATTAAGAAACAGCAGGGTCTGAAGCCCTGATCAACACCATCATTTAAGAAAAMAAAGACAGAAAAGTTAACAAAGAAATTTTTAAAAAAAGATGAAGAGGATCAGGATAACTACGAAATGCAGTCTATTAGAGGCAAGAGGAGAAAGCTTCAAGAAGGAATGAGTGAAAGGTGTCAAAAGTTTCAGCAAGATCAAGGAGGATAAAAACAGGATGAAGCTCCTGTTGGCCTCCAGGACAGCAACTTCTGCAGGGGTATATGTGTCTACATGCATTAGGTAGAGAAAGGAGAAGCAGGAATGAAATCATAGAAGAGGAATCAATAGAAACCAAAGGCACAGAGACAGCAAGCATAAGCTATTCTTTTTTTTTTTTCTTCAGTACTGTAGATGGCACCCAGGAACTTGCATGTGTGTGAAGTAGGCACTCTACCCAYTCTACCACTGATCTACACCCACAGCTAAAAGTGGATACTGTTTTTAAGAAGAAGAGGTGTGCTTGGTGCGGTGGCATACACCTGTAATCCCAGCGGCTCAGGAGACTGAGACAGCAAGATTGCAAGTTCAAAGCCAGCCTCAGCAAAAGTGAGGCACTGAGCAACTCAGTGAGACCCTGTCTCTAAATGAAATACAAAATAGGGCTGGGATGTGGCTCAGTGGTTGAGTGCTCCTGGTTCAATCCCCAGTACCAAAAAAACAAACAAACAACCCCCCCCCAAAAAAAAAACAGACACGTGAAGGAAGAAAAGAAATGGAGCAAGAACTTGAAAGGCAATYAGAATCAAGAAGGGGAATTTTGGGGGGCTGGGGTTGTGGATCAGTGGTAGAGCACTTGCCTGGCATGTTAGAGGCCCTGGGTTCAATCCTCAGCAACATATTAAAAAAAGGGGGGGGGCACTTTGTCTTGTTTTATAATGCAAGAAACTTAAATGTGAGAGGCACCCAGTGGACTGGGGAGAGATGAAGAGGTCCACAAACAAAGAATCAGAACACTGGGCTGGAAAGACCCAGCAGAATCAGATGTGTGCAGAATTTAGTAGTGACAAGGACAGTGTTATGGGCAGAGCGTGGCTCCTCCTCATGGCTCTCATGTGGTTCTGCCCCACCACACAGTCTCACCTCGTGGAGTTTGTCAGCCTTCTGGGTCTGCTTCTTCCGACTTCTCTGAGCAGCAACTCGGTTTTTTTCTCTCCTTCGGACCTTCCTGTCATCATCCTCAGGACTCTGGGGGATGACATTTGGGGGGAGTATGATGTCGATGCCCCTTGCCTTGCCTTTCTCTGCCCTCTTTCTTCACTCTGAATGTCACTCACCGAGCGCCAGCATTTCCTTTATTACTGATGTTGCTCCATCAGCGGGCTAATGATAGCTTTTAAGGGGCACTCACTGCATGCTGGGCCTCTGCTTAGCTGTTAGTCCCCAAGACCGCCCTAAGAAATGTGTACTGTGGCTGTCATTTAAAAGATGAGCAATAAGAGGGCTGGAGGTGCTAAGTGTGGGGGTGCACACCTGAAAGGCTGAAGTAGGATGATTACAAGTTCAAGGCCASCCTGGGCAATTTAAGCAAGATCCTGTCTCAATATAACATTTGCAAAAGGTTAGGAATACAGGTCAGCGGTAGAGTGCTTGCTATCATGAGTGAGGCCCCGGGTTCAATCCTCAGTACTAGGGTAGGGGAAGGTAAGGGCTGCAGGCTGAAGCTGTAGCTCAGTAATAAAGGGCTTGCCTAGCATGTGTGAGGCCCTAGATTCTATAAAAGAAAGATGAGGAATAAGAAACTCAGATAGGTTAAGGAACTTGCTCCAGGTATCACAGCTAGTATGGGGGTAAGTGGGAAGTGGAACTCAGGTCTGTTGGTCTCCAAACCAACGTTCACAAACCTCTATCCCACAAAGGCGTAGGCCTGGAAGAGTTGTGGTGTAAGTGTTGCTCATCTGAGCCTGGGAAAACTGGAGGCCATCTGCTCTCTGGAACTTGCTATGTGTCAGCTCTTACACCATCACACACTAGCAGGTACTTTTGATACTATGGGTAAATCATGGTTACATACTTGTAACTGATTGCAACTATATAACTCTACCAATGCACACCCCTAACAATGTGCTCATTTGAACAATGCCTGACTGATATTTTGCTTTGGAGGTCAGAGTAAATAAAAAATCAAATCCATGATATGTCCTGAAAGCCTTGCTATCAATGAGATTCAGCCAAATGGAGTCAAATCCTTCAAGAGGTACTGTGAAACAGGCAGGCAGAATAACACACTTACCATGGTAAAGACACTTCATTCATTATAGGAAACACGAAAAAGAACAGCAATATTTGCTTTCCAGAACCCCATGAGAAGATATCAAGGGAGAAAAAAAATATTGCCCTTAAGGGTTTTAAAAAACAAGAGGTGAATGGGGTACAGATCAAAGAAAGCTCCTCAATTATTACTATTAATGAAAGCAAATATCAAAAACACCTAATAATGATATTTTCAGTTATCATTTTATTTAGTCTTATATTCTGAATAAGACACACCATCTCTCCAATTACTGAAGGTAAGAATTTCCAATATATGCAAAAATAAAAGGAGAAGAATAAACAACATACATAATAAATAGAAGTGGCCTGGAGACAATGCTGCAGGGTACAGAGATGGTGTAAAAATCACAGGGCAGGGACATGTGGTGTAGAATATGGAACTTTAGCATAAACTTTACAATCTCACTGATCCTAATTTTGTATTATCAATAAGACCTTGGGTAAATGGTTTAAATTTTCTGAATTTCCAATTTTCTCATTAAGTGTGATACATTCATTCTTTCAATAAATATAACTGAGCATCTACCATGTGCCAGGCATTCTCCTAGGCACTAGAAATACAAGCCCAGAACAACRGGTCATTGACCTCTGCTGCTTTCTGCCAAAAGGCCTGAGGTTTGGGGCTAGTGTACCATGCAATTAGACTTTGTCCTAAAACTCCCTATACACAGTATGCTCTCCAGCAGTTACTAGTCTTTGTTGAGGTTGCTATTTTTAATTGAATCTCCGACAGTGCTTGTCACTAAATCATGTCTTTCTATTCTCCATAATAAAAAAAAGGCATAGGACACACAGGATTGACATGCATCCTACCCTCTGGGAGCTAACCCTCTAAACTGGTAACCCTCACCTATCATATGTGGTCACACCTGCCAACCTGACAGGAACATTTAATTAAGGCAGAAAGGTTTGCAAAGTCAGGAAGTTAACAATATCTCATTTAGACCTCATAAAAACCCTGAGATGTTGTTATATTTTTTATAGGTGGGTTAACTGTGGCTTGGAATCATCAAATTATCAAGATTACTGAGCCTGMGTGGCCAAGGTGAGACCCAAACTCAGATCTCTGTGACATTCCAGTGTCACTCGATGACACTAGGTGCTTGGGAGGGGGCAGCCATAAGAATGAAAGACTCTATCCAGATCCTAAAGCAGCTGGGTGCAATGCCTCCTAATGGCCATCTCGGCGGGAAACATGATTTCAGTTTCCTGTCTGGCGCAGTTGTAAAAGTTGCTGGGGACAACGCAGAGGACTGACTAGATGGGCGTAAGGGGTTTTCACCAGCTCTGGGGTGAAACCTGCTCTCGGAGGGGTCCCTATCGCATACTGCTAGCTGAACCATCCTGTTCCCCATATGCGCGGCAACAAGGAGGTTGGATGTGGGGACGTGGAGACGTGGGGACGTGGGGACGAACCGCAAATTCAGTCTTTGGACCGAATTCCCCCACCTGGCGCTCTAGCTCATTCCTGGAGCCACCGGTGAGAGCCAAGCACGTGAAAAGTGGAGTGGGAGCTGATCGCCACGCAGGACCCCGATTTGCGCCAGATGCCCCACGTGCGGGTGAGCGCAGGTGGCCGGGCCCATGTAGGTATAGGCGCCCTCAGGTCTTCACGGTCGGAGGCACTGAAGCTATCCTAGGCGCCGCGGACACCGAGCTGGAGCTGGGCGACCGGACACATCGGGGGGCCCCTGAGTCCTCCCCCACCTCCCGCCCCACTCTCGGTTGTCCGGTGCTAGGGGATGCGCCTACACCCCCGCACCTTAGCGGTCACCACCCGGAAACTCCAGCACCCACCTCCTGCTTCCCCGCGGCGTCCCTCGCCCCTAGCCCAGCTAGGCATCAGTGCCCTCGAGCCCCTGAGGTCCTCCCTGCGCGCCTCGTCCACTACCTGCGGCTGCGGCTGATTCCCAGGCGCCGCGACGCTCCTCTGCAGGACGCTACTGTCGGTCAGGAGCCCTTGCGACATGCCGGGCGCTCCTCTGCTCCGCCCCGCCCCGCGGAGCAGCCTGGCGGAGCAGCGGCCGCCCGCCCCGCCCGCGGCGCCCTGCACGCGGGGCACTGCCTACCGGTGCTCTCGCGCCCTCGGCATCCTCGCGCCCCGGCACCTGCCGGCCGTCGGCCCTCCGCCCCGCCCCCTCGGCTTCCCGCTCTCCCGGCTCCTCCGCGCACCGCGCGATCGCGAGGCCACCCCACCCCTCCCCCAGGCCCAGCAGGCTGTCCTTCCCGTCCCCAAGTCCGCCCCGCCCCCGCTGTCTCCCACCCCCGCCTGATTTCCTCCTCTCCCCGCCCAGTTGTGGCACCTCGGGGTCCCAAATCCCACCCCTGTCGCGGCTTTCCGCAGCGGCCCCTCGCTTCATGGAAGTCACGTGGTGGCTCTGAAACCCAGGGGGGGAACGCGAAGCCCACCCACAAGAGGTGACGCCGGGCGGGTGGGGGTCAGGGAGGCACGGCGCAGCCTTTGGGGTCCTTCGAACGCTCTAGAGGAACTCGAGTTGGGAAACTCAAGTGGGTGGATTTGGGGTTGGTGGTTTTTTTCCCCAGTCTCATCACGACATCTTCCTGCGCATGGGCCACGCCTCCCCGCCACCCCCTAGCGCGGGTCACAGCCTCGGGGGGACTTTCTCCAGGGCGATCTGTCACCTGGGAGAGCCACTCTCACTCCTTCCGCAGTCCGGGAGGCRCTGGCGGGAGGCGGGGTCAGCCGGCTTCACAGAGTCCCACTGCACACCCCAAAGCCACGGGCGTCCCAGGGCTTTTCTGCGGAGAGCACCTCTCCTTTTTCACCTCGTCCCTCCCGACTGGGCCAGAGAACTCGGCGGGGCGGCACCTTGGGTGAATTCCCTGAGTGGAGGGTGAGCAGGGGCAGAAATGGTGACAGGCTTTTCTGAAAGCAAATCTGCCGCGTTGGACGTCACTTGACAGATTCGGRGATGTAGGCCCGCCACGCTAAATTTGAAAGGACTAGATCTTTTTTTCAGATTAAGGTGGCAGGTGTGGCAAGATTAGGTGTGTGAATGTCACTCTCATGCCATACTGGACACGGGTAGAGGTATGGAGTGTTTGCCTCCACTTGCCTACCTGTTAAAAATAAGAAGCCAAGATKATTGTAATCAGCAAAGGAAAACTAGTGGTTACAAGTTTGTCTTCTACTTGCTGTGAGCATCGGGAAAYAAAGATAGCCTCGAATCTGGGTGGACCGGTGGGACCTAGTTCAGAAGTGCCTTCTGTGGTAGTCACTTTGGCCCTGGGCGCAGCAGTGTGTGGATAGTAGAGCGGCCTGTCTGATTTCTAGTGTACGTGGCTCTCCGCCAGGATTTAAGACCCTCCCTTTGCTAAAACTTTCAGAGGAGCTTGCATGAACTTGGCTGCTTGGCTGCTGGCAAGAAAGCTAGTGGAGATTCTGACAGGGGCTTCGGCCAACCAAGGACAGAGGAGGAGGTGCGAGGCAGAGGGAGGACAAAGAATGGTCGCAGCACTATAGACATTGTGCTGCAGACAACACTAGCAAGGTTGCAGGGCTGAGCCATTGTACCCCGGGTTTTCTGCCTAGGTTTCTTTTCTCATCTCCGTTTTATTTCATCACTGAACTTAACTCACGGTTGCCTTGGGATATTACTTTTACATCTCACTCAGAACACACAATGTRTCTAGCACATCGCTCTGCACACAAGCGCTTGCAGTAGTCAACTGAGAGTCGCCTTTCTTGAAAAATTCAAAGGACTCTAAAAAAACAAGAAAACCTCTGTTGCAGATTTCATAATGTTCAGAAGTGCTTTCATTCCCCAGTGTTGGTTATGAAAGGAAAGGGCAAGGTAAAAACCCATTGGACATTTAAGTGAACTTCCATGCTTCATTCCATTACCTTTTCTGTTCCGGCTGAATAACACCACATTCTAAGTTCTTTGGAGCCACTCCTTCCCATGTCTCTCCCCCTGGTTCCTGGGACTATGTCCCAGCACAAAAGAACTCTTCATATAGGATTAGGGTACTCCTTATGTTATGCTTAATGGAAGAGATCAATTTGATATACATATCATACATCAGGATTAGTGGATTAAATAGATATAGAAATAAAAATCAGGGAGAAATAAGTCCATATTAATGTCCTGGGATTAGGACAAGGAGAGGATTTTCTAAAACTATGCTTGATAGAGAAATAACATTGGTAAGATCTAAACTATGTAAAGTGTTAATCTGTTTTCAGTGGCAGCATAATTAGAAATTTAAAACAAATTGGAAACATATAGTGCTTATGATCAAGGATTAAACTATTAAATATAGCCCATAAAAAGAAATCAGAAAGGGGCTAAAGTTGTGGCTCAGTGGTAGAGCAATTGCCTAGCATGTGTGAGGCATCTGAGTTCGATCCTCAGCACCATAAATAAATAAATAAATGTTCATTGACGACTTAAAAAAAAAAAGCCTTTATACTCAGTCATTCCCATCATTTAATAATAAAAAAAGAAAAGGAATCAGAAAAATACTGAGACAATCCCACAAAGGTAAATTGCACCAGTGACAATGAACTGGCATTTCCCAACAGAGAAAATAATCAAGGAAAATAGAGAAGAAAATGCATGTGAAAATAAGAATCCTTTTAAAATATTAAATTGGCAAAAYACCTACTAGAAATTAGTAAATAGTTGCCAGCATCATTATAAATCAGTGCAAATCTATTAGAAAGCAATTGTATGATAACTTTTAAGAACTATAAAAGTCATCATTTGACTCACTTTTCCCACTTCTGTAAAATCATCCCAGGAAGATCATTGAATATACTCAGGAGAAAAATACTCTATTCACTAAAAGTTCATAACATTTTAAGAGTGAAATTTTGTAAGTAATATGAATGTCCAATTATAGTTGAATAGCTTACCAAATTATCTCACAGTATAGAATATACCCTTAAAAGTTACAAGAATGCAGACAAATTTGTTATATGGAAGATTCATTTGAAGTGAGGTAAAGAGAGGGGGAAAAATGAAGATACCAAAAATCAGAAAGGGGCTGAAGTTGTGACTCAGTGGTAGAGCACTTACCTAGYATTTTTATAAATTTTCATATGTATAAAAATCTATGCATATGAAAAAAGATTGGAAGAAACTATACCAAGGTGGTAGCATTTTTCTTGTGATAGTGAAATATTAAGTAATTTCTTTTGAATTCTTCTTGAAATAGTAAGTAATGTCTTTTAAACTTTTTTGGAAAACTGTTTTGTGTTCACATTCTTCAAACATTTCATATTCATAAGTAATACACATATGTTCATATTATTCCCTTCCCTGATACTACGCTCATTCRCCACATGGGAATGCCAGCACTTCTCTGATCAAGAAGAGTATGTCCTACCAGTCTGTTTTCCTGCCTTTCTGCAATATTTTCTCGTTCATTTCATCCCTCTTAAGTCAGAAGGAGAAAGAAAAATGAAAACAAAGAAGAAAAGAGAAACAAGAAAAAAAATTCAAATGTCTCTTTTACTTCTTTTTTTATTTATATTTCTTTTCTTACACTTAGAAGAGAAATGATACAATTTGGCAATTTTCTATTAATACCACAATGACCCTGGATTACATCTTTGGGGACAGGAGAAGGAGGTACAGGAGGTTTATAGTTCAGTGGTCAATACCACTGGTGGTGAGTCACTTCACAAGAAGTCAGCTCTTTATGAAAGCAAGTCACTCATATGCTAGAAAATTCTGTCACTAGTTCACTTTTGCTTTTCTCTTAGGGAAATTGACCTTTTGGTAATTGTACTCTCACTGGTCTTTCTCAGAAGATGGTCTTGTCGGCTCCTGGTGTGGCTAAGGAATAAGAGTTGAAGGCAGAGATCACTGTGTTTACTAGAAAAGAAGCCAGCCACTGTGTGTTGGCCGTGGTTCTAGGTGCCAAARTATGATAGTGAAGAAAAGAGTCATGCTTCGGGAGGCCCACATTGTAGAAGAGGGATACAGACCAAAAAAAAAAAAAAATGTAGTGTGTTAGGTGGTTGGGAAATATGTTTTATGGAGAAATATGAAACCAGAACAAGAACTAGGGGTTAGGGGTAGGGTGAACATCAGGGAGAAGTGGGCCAGGCTGCACCTACAGCAAATGCAAAAGCCCAGTGGAAGCATGCCTGGCCATTCAGGAAACTGCAGGAGGTTCATGGTTCATGTGTCTGCAGTGGATCGAGGAAGGTGTGGATACCAAGAAATGAGGTCAGAATGACAATAAGAGGCAAGGTCATGCAGAGCCTTCTGGATTGCGTGGCTTTTACTTAGAGTGAGATGAGAAACACTGGAGGCTTTTGAGCAGACATATAACATGATCTGGTTTAAGTGTTAATAGACTGAAAGGGGCAAGGAAGACACAGGAGGTGATGGCAGTAATCCAGGAGACTGGGGATGAAGTTCGGACGATATTGGCAAGAGCAGAGGCTGARGCAAATTTGCTGGAAGTTAGTGAGCTTCAGTTTCACGATGTCTCACTTGGACAGGTCCTTGTCATGGCCCAGAAGGGAACTAGCAATGTGTGCACAGGGTAATGAATTTTAATAAAATTTGCAAAAATGGGATATTTAAACCTTCATGGTTATGGTTACTGTTTGTTTTCACCTCATCACTCACTCAGTCTCCTCAGTAGGAGTCACTATAGGTATTTGGGGGACCCTGCATAGGAGAGCTAATCAGACATATTTGCACATTAGGGTATATGCATGTGGTTCCAGTACCGTCTATCTGAAGTCACATTTTTGCTAGTTATATGACCTCCAGGAATATTCCCACCACTCACCGTGCTAAACCACCCAACACTATATATATATATTTGTTTGTACCGAGAATTGAACTCAGGGGCACTTAATCACTGAGCCACATCCCGATCCACCTCCCCACTTTTGTGTGTGTGTGTGTGTGGTGCTGGGGATTGAACCCAGGGCCTTGTGCATGTGAGGCAAGCACTCTACCAACTGAGCTATATATCCCCAGCCTCAGAAATTTTTTATTTCGAGATAGCATTTCACTAGGTTGCTTAGGGCACCAATCAACTGCTCAGACTGGTCTCTTGCCTCAGCCTCCCCAGTTGCTGGGA